ATAATTGTGAATTATTTGCAAAAATTTTAAGCCTCCTACCTCGCTCCGAGTCTTGGGTACTACCAGAAACATTAAACAGCCAACTTTGGACTCCTCGTAATTGAGCCAAAGTGGAAATATCAGCTGTGGCCCCCTTTTCATTGGAAATCAACCATTGAAACCAAGACCAACCTGCTCCTATAGAGGAATTATTGTTGGAAGAATTATACAAGTATCTTTTAAGAGAGGGGGAAAGGGAGAAACCTTTAGCGACCTGATGTTTCTCCCAAGAATGATCTTGGCAAGGCGTGAATATTGGAGGGAAGCCATACTCAGGGGTGCAATAAGGAGAAGCCTTAAAATGAGTGGCATTAGGGGTCTGATTAGAAGGAGATAACGGAATTAACACCTGGGAAGTAATGGCCAAAGTGGTAATATTAAGCTCAGAAGTATTTGTCGGGACTCTTCTTGTCAGGCGTTCTGGAACCCACACCGGCTCCGTCCGGTTCCGGCCCCCGGCGGCGCTCCGCTTTCTCCGCAGCGTGAGCCCGCTCCGCAGCAGTGCAGGCAGGTCCTTCAGCCGCGGCCGCAGCGACGCCGGCGGCTGCTCGCGCTCCGGCTCGCGGGTGCTGGGACTGCGGCTCAGAGCGCTGTCCGCCGCCACCACTGCCGCGGCCAGGGCCGGGTTCTCACACGGCGGCTGCATCTTGACTGAGCCCACCGCCATCTTCATGCCCAGACCGCGGCCGCGGCCCCGGCAGCTTCTCTCAAAAACATCTGCAAAGTGCTCTGCTTTACTTTAAGTCCTTTTGAACGTAACAACCCATCTAGGGCCAACAAAATTGGGCTTGAAGAAGTAGCGCCCATAATGTTTTTAGAGCTATAAAGAAAGTGAAAGTACAAAAATCCCCGCTCTCTTCCTTTTACAGGGGAGCGTCCCTTTTCCCGCTCTCTCTTTCTTTACCGAGGAGCGTCCCGCTATTAGCTTGCGGATTCCCACTTTACCTGGGAACTTACCGGTGCACCACCCTGACTGCTGAAAGTTCTGGATCCTGGGTTCGAGGAATATAATTCCCCGTCCGGGCCACCAACTGTCGCGACCCCTCGCCGGCAAGGGAAAAACACGACACAGGATTCTTCTTTCAGCAGTTTATTCAGGCCTTGATTCAAGTATCATCTTCTAGCGACCCCCCGCCGAGCGCCCAAGCACAGCCTAATAAAGCCTCCCGCATACCAATCCCAAGCTGCCACGTGGATCTTTCTCATAGGGTGGTAAGGGATTGCGCGCCAATTCTCCATAAAAGGAGTTGTTTATCACAGGCCACAGTGGAAGCCGGCGCCATCTTCTAATGGCGGCCACGGTCTATAGGAACGGCTCACCACACAGGTGATTTAGTCCTGAGGCATTTTCCTAACAGGGACCAGGTCCAGACTAGAATGAAGTAAAAACATGATAATGGACTTTAAGGGGGGAATGAAAATGGAAGCTTTTAATTTGTGAAGGAGATCTCGACCCAAGAGGCAACTTGGCACAATTATAAACTGTCGCAGCATGTGACTGAATCAGACAGGGTCACTCCAGGTGAATTGGGCTGGCACAACAAGTCACACAGACCCAGAAAGTACCTTTTTCTTGGGGTTCAGTGACTGCTCCTCTGCCCCAGCCCCCACAACGGAGGCAAGAGAGGCAGGCAAAAGAGAGAGAGCATGTCTGAAACCATCCTATTTATTGGGTGGAAAGACATTCAAGAATGTTCAACCCAAATAAGACAAGGGATTGGGTCTCAGGGGGTTGCCTGGTGATGTCTTGTGGTCAGCAGATTTGACTGACATCTTGGAAAGCCACACCCATCTCAGGTGCTGTGTGGGATTAAAGGCAGAACAAGCAAAAAGGTATGTCACACAGCCCAGTCAGAGCAGCGACATCAGTCCAGCCCCCTCATGTGCCCATGGCTGGCTCCTGACAATAAACAAATGAGATAATGAAAGGAATCCAATTGTACCAAAAAGGAGAGGTGTCTGCAGCAGATATATAGGTATTCCTAAGACTCCAATAATTGGGGTATTTGATTTGAAGGTGGGCCCATGCCCTTGAGTCAGAAATAAAAGACTTACTCCAGGGTCAATCACCAATGATATTGCATGGCCATTCACCATCCCTGTAGCCCTGGGATCCTGAGGTGACTGGGGCAGTGGAGTCTGGGCCCCCTTCATTCCAGTAACTCAGTGAATGAAACTTCCCCAGGTATCTGTGCTGGGGGAAAAGGTGTCCTCTCCCAGGGACAGTCTGTCTTCCAGTGTCCCCATTGCCTGCAGTTGGGACATGGCTTGTGGGGGGAGCTCAGATTAGGGCAGATCCTTGCCCAGTGTCCAGTTTGCCCACATTGGAAGCAGGGCCTGGGAGGTGCACAAGAGGGTCTGGGGCCATGAGCTGCAGGGACTATTTTAGGGCCCTGGATGGTGGAAGCAGAAGCTAATGTTTAGTTTTAAGCTGTTTTTTTTTCCTCCTTTTTGCCTCATCTTCCCTGTTGTTAAAGACATTGAATGTCACATCTAAAAACAACTGCTTGGGAGACCCAGGACCCTTCTCTGAGTTTCTTGTGAATGTCAGGTGCAGACCTGCTGACAAAGTTAAAATGAAGGAATAGACTGCCACCAAGACTACTGACATACAAGTTTGTATATTTGGTAACAGCCTCAGTAAGTTGGGCCAAAAATAGGGTGGGATTTTCATCAGGTCTCTGGGTAGTTTCCTTTATGTTTTCCCAATTTACCTGGGTGTGAGAATTTTTTGTCATGCCTTCAAGGAGGCAAGTAACCATGTGTTGGAGTCCAGTGACCCTGGGGTCTTGAGTCTGATGTGTCCAATCAGGGTTAGCTGCAGGGATTGCAGCATCTGTTGCTGGGTGGATATTTCGGTTTTGGGCATGTAGGAGGTTCACATGATCCCTAGTGGCCTTCCAGATGTGGGCACTTTCATCATTGGTCAGGATGGAAGTTAATATATAATATACATCTGCCCAAGTGAGGTGATAGGGCTGAATGAGACTCCTTGCTATATGGCAGGATTTTCAGAAAATGAGCCTAATCTGTCTTCTATTTGAGACATGCCTCTCATGAAGAAGGGGATACAGACTTGGACACTCCCTTCAGTCCCTGCCACCTCCCAGAGAGGAAACAGATGTATTTTGGGGAGGGTTTTTGACCTTGTATGGGGAGTGGGAGTGGCAAAGGGAAGTGAGAATGTGGGGTTTTGAGGAGGAGGGTCTAATGGGGAAGCAGTGGGACTTTGAGGATGGGAACCTGAAGGGGAGGGGGAGGCTGGAGAGGAGGCTGTGGGACCCCAGGAATCTCTAAGGGGGGGTTCATTGGCTATCTCTGGGGCTATGAATAAAGAAGAAAGTTGTGAGTCCATACTTAGTAACTGCACAGCAGAATAAGGTTGGCATAGGGAGTGGTTTGAGCAAAGGAAAAAGAAGGCCTGGAGGTAGGGAACCTCAGACAACTTGCCATTCTGTATTCAATATTTTTCCAAAGCCTGGAGAATTTCTTTATCAAGAGTTCCATACTTGGGCCATTTATACTGTTTGAGTGCTGAGTCTAATGAGGCATTACTTTTGAGGTCAGTTTGGGAGCAGAGGGTCTTAAAATTGGTAAAGAAATGGCCCAAGGGGCAGCTGAACTTAAGGTCACTTGTGTGAATTTCCAGGGACACCAATAAAACACAGACACACACTTTACCCTTGACCAAGATTCAGTACAGCTCCTCTGCTCTTGGCCTCAAGCTCCCCAAATGGGAGAGTGAGGGATAGTCCCAAGAGGCTGGTGAGAGACAGTGAGCGAGCACGTTTGGAAGTGGGCTTTTATTGGGAGGACCCTCATTCTTAGAAAGTTCCATCCAAAAAAGGTAATAAGGGGTGGAGTTACATGGGACTTGTGAGTGTAATTTGACCCAAGGGCTGTAGGGTGATGCCTAAATCTGAAGCTGCATCCTCAAACTTATGAACTTCTGGGACAAGGGCAATGTCCAAGTCACTACGAGATGTAGTGACGGTCAAAGCCTCTCTGCTCTGAAATGGAAGACATGAATCAATCAGAGTGGCTCCCCACAGTGTCTCTGGGAACTGACTGGGTAACTTCCATGTTTGGAGAGACTTGACAGAAGCGATGCTTTAAGAGCAGAGTGTCCCCTGAACTCTTATGTCACAAGGGTGCCAGTCATTGGACTGGAATTTTCCCACTGGGGTGAGGAACCTCCCAGGTGAGGGACCTCCCAGGGTCCTGGATGGCCAAAGGGTGGGTATCTCTCTGCTGGAGACTAGATGAATGGAGTTTTACCTCTCCAGATAGATGCGGAGGCCAGTGGTGGATGCAGAAACAAAATGGCAAGGAAGTGGTTGATCCATGAAGTTTTGCTGGGTGTGTAAGGGAAGGGAATGTTGGTGAGGGGAGGAAATATAAATAGGATAATTTCAATGGCCATAAAGGACTTGATAGAAATCCTTGCACCATCCAATGGCATCAAGCCATAATTATCTAGCAGAAGGCCTATTTTTGGTACCCTTGAGGGCTGTCAGGTTCAGATTTAAGACATAAGACCTTCCTGCAATACCAGGGATGGCCCTGGCCAGCCTCCTTCAATGGCCTTAAGTCTTCCTGTGTCCTATGCACCAAATTTCTCCCACACAAAGCTGGCAGTTGCTCAGCTAAAGTGGACTGCAGAGGCTGTGAAGGGCTGTGTTCTACAGGGTGGGCAGGGGACACAGTCAGTTTGAGGATTCAGCCTTAACTTATATGAGTGGTGGCTGGGGGACCCCCAACTTTCAGAAAGCCATGGAAGTTCCAGACGTTTGATGGTAACTTTCAAGGCCCCATCAGTTGTTTAACCTGTAGGGAGAGGGAATGGGTTTTTTGGGTACAGAGACGGACAAAATATTACCTTTCACCTGCTTCCCAGTTAGGGAACCAAAATGTTAGCACAAAATGACTGAGCCAAGTACAAATGTCACTGATCATCACAGCCTTTACTCAGCAGTGGAGTCGTGCATCTGGTGGACCCACCTTCCTGATGGAAAATGAGCCACTGGCCAAGGAGGAATCTGTGCTTGTAAATGCTACACTGAGAGGTGACTTCATTATTGACAGAGCGCGTCAGTTTGGGCACTCAGGAAACAGGTTTGTGAGAATTTGAAATTTGCTTTTACCGGGCAATGTTATTACTTGGGTAAGAATGGGGTGGCTGGGTCAGTGTTCCCTTCACGATCCCATCGTACTGTCACTGGGAAAGGATTTATTTGGGAAGATCAATGCTTTGGCTTCCTCCCAGAGGCTTCCATTTTAGGCTTGAAGGATATCTCCTTCCCAGGGACTGTCTCCTCACTGGGTGATGTTTGCTTCCCTCCCAGGGGTTTTCCTGTCACTGGGAATGAATGTCCTGGGAAAGGATCAACGTTATCAACCTTTGGCCATCTTCCTCACTCCCTTTTCCCAGACCACACTATTTGGGGTTTGCCATTTTCCATACCTTACAAGTGCTATTATGAGCAATCAGAGGCAGAGAGGTTAGGTAAGTCGCTCCCCCGTACAGGTGTGGAAGGTGAACTCCGGAAAACCAGCCCCAGTGAGTCTGAGAGGGGCCGCACCCAACCTGGGAAGCGAGACTCTTCCCAAGTGCGAGGCCGTTCTGCCCAAGCAACCGCCATCGTCATCTCATCCCCGTTCCTCAACATCTGCTCTATTCCTCCCACACCGACAACTTTGTTGTTGTTTCCTCAGAAGCAGGTCAGGAAAGTTCATAGGAATTGCGGGATTCAGAAGCGACGAAAACCCCAGTGGAACAACTGGCCAAAAGCTCGCCCCTCTGCGGGGTAAACACTGTCTTCTGCCATCTTTTCCCAGAATCTCCACGCAGCCTCCTGGAGCGGAAGTGTCTGTGACTACAGTGGACTTCCGGACTCCACTTCCCAGAAGGCCCCAGGACAACGCCCCGCCCCACCCCGCCCAGTGAGGTGCGGGAGACCATGGTTGGGGAGCGCTCGCCCTGACTTCCCAGAATGTCAAGGGGGCTGCGTCCGCAGTCCCGCCTCCCCCAAGAGCCAACGCTCTAAGGTTCCTGCCCTGCGCTGCCGAGGGCGCGGAAGGCCTCGACCCTGTCATAATCTGAGAAATTGTGGATTACTTCGTGAGTGACAGGATTCAACTTCTTTAAATCCTGGAGAGGAAAATATTCTATAGCCGTGGCGTTCTGGAGCTAAAATGCCCACAAAACAAAACCCAGCGTTCTTGGCAAACGAGCACCGCTGACGCACCACCTGGAGCGGAAGTTTCTTCAACCACGTGGTGCGCCACTCGGTGACGCTCCTCGCTTTTCACGACCGTCCTTGGGTTTGGGGTTGGGAGTGGGGGTGCTGCGATGAGCTCGTGGCCTCATGCCTGCGGGACAAGCGGCCTACCATTGGGTGACAGCCCAGACCCCAGAGTCAGAATCATCGAGTTCGCCCTGAATGAATTTTTGTTCTCTTAGTTGAGCCCGATCTTCCTTTTTCTTTTTCCACACTTTTTTCTTTCACATCTGATTAAAGGTATGGTTATCAAGAAAATATCAAGTATAGAAGAGAATCAAGCTTGAAATACAGAAAGAAGATTAAGAACCATTATAGAGTGGAAGCCATGTGCTGTTAAAATGGAGATGTGGAAAGGGAGTCAGCCTCAACTGCACCAGACAACAAATTTCACGCAGGTCTCAATTTCGTGTTGACTGGATTCCCTTGTTTGATGGGAACTTGGGAATCAAGGCAAGTGTTGAATTGTTCATTTTAAAGAAATGTGTCAAGTGGGTGAAAGCTACCCTAGCAGGAAATTGGAGAAATCATTGGAATATTAAAAGGGGTAAATCCTACTTACAATCTTTAAAATGTCTCTTCTTCCATCCATTGTCAGATATCACATCACCTACTTCTAACCTGCTCGGTCATAAATCAGATAAGTCAATCATGTGCCTTACTCTTCCATTAACAGTTGAATATAGGGAGGCCTGGTTTATTATGTGAGATAGAGGCTCAAGTCCAGAAGTTGAAGAACAACATAATCCAGAAAGCTTGTTCTGCTCAGGTTTCCTTTGGACAAAAATGAAATATTTTTTTCTAGCATGATTTACACGTGCCCACACATACACATAGAAGAAACAGTAAAATGTCCATAAACTTATCTTCCAGGTTCAACAATTATCAGCATGTTGTCCCTGTTGCTTTACCATTTTTTCTGTCATTCAAAAAGGCTCAATCTGTGATGCCAAAAAAAAAAAAAGTACACTTATTTGGGGTCTTAAATTTGCATTTCATAAGCAAAGATTCCAAGAAAAACAAGAATGAGTTCCCTTTGGGAGGGGCTTAGAGGGTACTTTTATAGGTTTAGAAAAAGGAGGAACTGAGTTAACATAGGTTGTCAAAAATTATTATTAAAGGATAAATTTACTTCTGTAGATATTGGTGTAACACAGGTCCATTAGTTTTATAAAATCCTCAGGAGGTTTCCTCTCAGGAAGCCTCTGGGCATGTAAGAAAGTGGTCACCACAGCTTACAATAAATTCTGGGTCATACAATGGAGTCACTTCTGTTAACATTACACTTGCTTTTTTATTACTAAAGTAGATTAAATGCAAATCCTTGATATCTTGTCATTTCCCAAAAAATAATTTCATAATATTCCTCAAAACATAAGAAAACTTACATTTATAACAAATCCATTAACAAAATAGTAAGTTCTTAAATAATCTATCCTTATTTGAAATTCCAAACTCTCTCAAAAGACTTTACACCCTGTTTTAATAATAGAATATATCCATTCATTGCATATGATTATTATATAATTTCTGAGTGTCTCCTGTAATCTACAATTGACCTCTTTTATCCCTCTTCACACCCATGGCCTGCTAAAGAAGCTCCATTTACTATCATTCAGGACTCCCATATATTGGCTTTGTCTGCTATTCCTGGATCTGTCATTTATTTTCCTCACTCACCTATTTTCCCCATAGACTGGAAATTAGATTTAAAGATTACATTAGATTCAGGTTCTTCATTTTTTTAGAAAAAAAAATGGCTTAAAGGTGATTCTAAAATAGCTGAACAAACATCCATACCATGACCAACTGAAAGTATGTATCTCAAATGCTGGGAAAAATCTCTTTATAATTAGAAAAAGTGAGAGACTTAAGAGAAGGGAACCATTCAAAGGAATCAGACCTCACAATATATGAATATTACCTCTCAAAATTTTTAATAAAACTTATTTTCCAGTTTATATGCAGGCATGTATTAAACAACATCACATTGACAATAGAAAAACTTTTTTTTCAGATAAAAATGGCAAAAACATTTTAATTAGAATGGATGCATTAAAAAATACTACTGTTCCTTCATTGCAAGTAATAATGAAAAAATTACAAATAATCCTCCTACTTAGAACAACTAGGGAAAAAATATCTCTCCAAATTCAATTTTAAAAATATCTTTCAGACACCATCAGAAAGTCAACAAGGGAACTGAGGTTGTGGCTCAGTGGTAGAGCACTTGTCTAGCATGTGTGAGGCCCTGGGTTCAGTCGTCAACACCACATAAAAATAAATAAATAAAGCAAAAAATTTTTAAAAAAGTTAACAAGGAAGTGGAGAAATAATGAGTCAAAATGGAACTGAGGAGCCAAGAATTTGGAGTGACTTTTCCCCTAGGATGATTACCTAGTCTGTTTAAAGGTCTAGATGCTCTGCAGCACTTTCACTTCTTAAGTAGCTGGGGAGACAAATGTTGGGGTTGAGTGCTTATCAAATGGGAAGATACTCCAATAAAGTCATACTGTTTTATGTAGAGAATTCCAGTACACTGCACACAGAAAGTAAGGTTACACATTGATCCTTGTAAACAAAAATCTGGACATTATAGAAGTCCACAACCCATAACAACACTAGACACAGAGCAGGGGAAAGCCTTAAGAAAGCCTGCTTCTTCTAGCAAAAGGCCTGGAAAAATAGTAGCTTTGTGGAAACCTTTTAGCTAAATCCATCCTCCTTTAGGTAATATCAAAAGCAACATTCCTCCATTTAGCCCTGTTGTCTTGGTAATACAGAAGGTAGACCACCCATAGACGGAAAGTGGTTTCAGAGAAGAAAAGGAGGGAGAAAGGATTTGGAAATCAACCTTCTGACCCCAGTTAGTCTGGCCACAGGCAGTTATTTAACAGCCCCTAGACATGACTAACCACAAACAGTGCTTCCTCTTGTACCAACAGACCCTCATTGTCACCGCTGTGCTAATTCTTAGAAATCACTTTTCTCCATTTTTGCTGAAGACGACAGAATAGTTGATCTGTCCCTTTCTGAATTCTATATCCCACCAATTACCTATAGGGATAGATCAAACCCATAAAACCCCTAAACAACAGACACCCATTGGCAACCCTCTCTTGGGACCCTCCTCCCCCTACAGTAGCTTTGCTTGCTTTCTTTATATTACTCTAATAAATCCTGTTGCTTTGCTCTCACCCTTGTGTCTATAGATTTCATTCTTCAAATTACAAGACAGAACCCACCCACCCACATCTGTGCTACCTTAAAGACTTGTACATCTTTCCCTGCACTAATCAAGTGCCCCCTCTGCTTCTCTGCCTGAAGCTGCAGAGACTGTGGAGTTCTGTTGACCATTCCTATTTTCACTACATGAATGCCAGTCAAGAGGAAGAACCCCACCCTATCCCAGCTAGAGATTGGGAGGAGAAATTCAGAGAGGAAGGGATCTGGAAAAAAAGATATTTCATCAAAAAGGGGAAAAGTGACAAATGTGACAAGATGTTTATTATTGTAGAATCTTATGGGACTGGGTGAGTCCAACTTTTTTAATATTTGAAAATTTTATAGCAAAACTCATATCACCCAATCAGTTCAAATTCTATTTTTGTGAATTAAAGCAACGATAGTAACTTCTCTAAGCCTGGTTTTTCATTTCTGCAATTGAGATGTGTCCACTTCCTGAGAATAGAAACATAATTTCTAGAAGAAATGGAGGACATTCCAACTCACTGTAAGTGGCTAACATGATTCTATTCTTGAAGAATAGCAGCATAATGACAAAGGATAATTAAGAAACAGGAAAACCCCATGAAATTGCCATTTCTTCCCAGTCCAGTTTAGTTAGGTGCAGCCTACACAATAGGAAGGAAACATTCAGAAGCAGTAATTTAGTAATTTATTTAGTCTCCCTCGACTGTATGATCTCCTCTTTTCTCCCAAACACCTCATGTCCCACACAGCTACCCTAGACTCTTAAACAACTCACTTGCTACTCAGGCCTATGGCTCATGTTCTTTTCCTTATCTCAATTTCCTTAATGCAATCATGTCACCTAGGTCCTAAATATCTTAAACAGGAGTTAAAGAATTGCTGCTTTGGCAAGAGTCAATGTAAATTCCTATTGATGAGGCTTGAAGTCTTCCTGTTTTCATTTTCTAAAACTTTACTTGTTCCAGTCATCCCATAGCCTGAGAAGATTCTTTAAGTTCATTGAAATCTAAATATTGGTTTTCAAAAATCTCTCTCCACAGAAAATCCTATACTCTGGTTACCCACATGCTCCAAAGACACTGCCTATATGTGCACAGCACATTGCTGTGAAGGAACATTGTCTAGTTTTGAGGATGAAGCTCAAGTTATTCAGATATTAACTCTCAAACTATGAGTCAGAGGGGAAAAAAGTAGTATTTAATCTACTATCAAATGCACGCACTTAATTATTTAGTTCTTGCTTTTTTTTTTTTTTTTACTGTAGGATGTCTGAGCCCAAGCTCTCATAAAACTTTCCAACTTTTATCTGCTTTCTTGAAAGTTTTAATCAATACAATTTCAC